GTGGGTGGTGACCGGGCATCTGCTGTCCCCCCCACAAACACGAGGCTCAAAGCCTCTGTTGCGTGGGCAGGCAGCTTTCCTAGCGCCTGTGGCCCGTCTGCTCTGGACAGAGGTCAGGGGCATCCTTTGGCTCAAGGCGAGACACTCCGCTTATTTTACCAGCAAGTACCTGTTCTCTATACTTTGCTGCGAAAACACACACACACTTTCCTGCCCGGAGAGTGGCAGGCTGGTCGCTCTGGCGCCCCGGCTATGCCACAGATGGTGCTCACTGCCAGGCCTGAGCTGCACGCACACACGTGAATTTGCGGGCACACGTGTGCCTCCTGCGTGTGTGCAGGGCAGCTGTGACCCTCAGCCCTCCATTCAGGGCAGCTCTCTGAATGCATGGCTCCCCCTTTAATCACACCTCCCCTCCCGCCCCTCCGACTCCCAATGAGGCTGCCAATCAAACTGCCACGCTGAGTGGCAGGCTGAAACCTCAGAGCAAACCCATCATCCAGCTACAAAGGTCCCTGCGCCCAGCACCAGACAGGGACAAAGGCTGTGCGCCTCCTGTGATTATGAAAAGATAAAGCAGCTCTGAGTCCAACCACAGGCACTTCAATTACCCAGCACTTTCCTGCCAATGGGTTGATGGCCACCTTTTAATTCGCTCCTCTTGTCTCTGGAGGCGTCCAAAGAACCCATCGCTGGCTCCCCCCCTCCCCATCGCCCATGGGAGACAGGACAGGAGCAGGCACCAGTCCGCCCGCTGTGACCACATATGACCGTGGCCTTGGCACTGACCTTCCGCAGGAGGAAGCAGATGCGCTCGATGTTCCTCAGCCGTTCCCGCTGTCAGGACGCACAAGGGAGAAAGGAGAGGTGGGTTAGAGCGAGGGAAGCCCCCACAGTGACCTCAGGAGAGGAGGCAGCCCCCGCCCGAGGCCCCTCCCGGCCAGAGGGGCCTTTTCCTAACGAGTTTCCCCATCTACCTGGTCACCTGCTCTTAGAAGAACTCCACCAGCAAACAGTGTGGGCTCAGCCTCCCTCTCTCCAGCAGAGGCGTCTGTACTGTTTCTACACAAAGTCTCGCTCACCTCCATGCACCTGTAAGGCGGTCAGACTGCTGACCACCACCACGTGCTCACTGACTGTCCCAAAGCCTGCAGCCCACCACCACCACCACCACCACCCGACTCCCGGCTGGGGGGACTTCCCGCGAGGGTGTCAGAGAGCATATGTGCCTGATTAGTGTCTGAGGAAGGGACATTCTCTGCCCGTTGGCTTTGGCTGTCTAGAGTAGCGGTTCTCAACCTGTGGGTCACGACCCCTTTGGGGGTCGAATGACCCTTTCACAGGGGTCGCCTAAGAGCATCAGAAAACACATCTATAATTACATATTGTTTTTGTGATTAATCACTATGCTTTCATGATGTTCAATTTGTAACAATGACAATACATCCTGTATATCAGATATTTACATGACGATTCATAACAGTAGCAACATTACAGTTATGAAGTAGCAACAAAAATAATTTTATGGTTGGGGGTCCCCACAACATGAGGAACTGTATTAAAGGGTCGCGGCATGAGGAAGGTTGAGAACCACTGGTCTAGAGTGCGTGTACTTAAAGGAAGTAATCTTCCCCCTAAATGAGACCCCAGCCGCGCAGCATCCCACAGCTTCTGAGAGAAACGCATCACCCCACTCAGCAGTCACTTGTAACCCAGGCCCTTTTGTGCTGTTGTCATCGACCAGGGAGGTCGTTTTTTCAGGCCACCTGGTCCTGAGATGCCACTGCAGGGGCCCTCAGGCCTGAAGGCGCGTTAACGGGGCATCAGAGCGTTTAACAGGACTCCTGCCAGGGAGTAACATCATTGGAAATGGGAAAACGTGGGTTTTTATGGATTGTTTTAAAATCTCAGACAAGCCCGGCGTGGCTCAGTGGTTGAGCGTTGACCTATGAACCAGGAGGTCACGGTTTGATTCCTGGTCAGGGCACATGCCCGGGTTGCCGGCTCAATCCCCAGTGTGGGGCCTGCAGGAGGCAGCCGATCGATGATTCTCTCTCGTCATTGATGTTTCTCTCTCTCTCTCCCTCTCCCTTCCTCTCTGAAATCAATAAAAAAGCATTTTAAAAAAGAGAAGGCTGCCATAAGCCTTCCAGGTTTGGATGGCATCACACTAGCGAATCCCGATGATCTTGCTGACTGAAAAGATCAACAGAGCTATTCAAACAAAAACTTAGCGCTGGGAACCAGGGCCTGAAAGGAGCTTCAACTAACATAGGCCCAGCGAGTGTAGATGGAGCCACACACTTGAATGAGGTGTGTGTGTGTGTGTGTGTGTGTGTGTGTGTGTGTGAGAGAGAGAGAGAGAGAGAGAGATGAGAGGCGGGGGAGAGGGATGCTCCATCTCTTGAGTCCAGCAGGGCTGGCCTGGAATGAGTTCAGAAAAGGCTCTGTCCACACACATGTTGGCCCCTGGCTCCAGGACATGGGCTGGCATGACCAGAGAAGCGGGCAGCCAACACCCACCCACTCAACAGAAGTGAGGTCCTTCTCCAGGCCCTGCTTCCATGCCTCTCCCTGCATCCGTTTCAGGGCAGGGCAGCAGGCACAGCCCATGAGCAAGATGGGCGGTGAGACTCTGGGCACAGCACATGCTGCACCCGGACCAGATAACCAGACGTCAGGAGAGTCCCCAGGGGCAGGCGACCTTGAACCCACAGAGCTTGTCCAGATGAATGCTTCCTGGTGACGGCTATGGGGCTAGGAGCCTGGACATCAACCCACCCTATCAGAGCGGGGCGACCACTAAAGATGCTCCTATACCTGCCCAACATGGGGACACCACGGAGCTCCCTCCCGTTCAGCCAGGCCTTGAGGACTCAACAGCCATAATACAGCAGGCATTTCCCACCTGGGACCCTGGGGCTGCCACACTTGACTTGCAAGAGAAATCAAGACCTCAGCAGGCCCGGAGAACAAGAAGTCCCCTCAATAGCCTTGAGCCAGGCGTGGAATGTTTAAGCAGAGCTGGATTGATTCCCAGCTTGAGCAGAGCTGGGAATGTTTTCTAGTCATTCTATGCATCGGGACCTCACCCTCTTTCCCAGGCCCTGGGTGGCCTGTGAGGGCACTCCCTGCCCCGCCACCAGCACCCTCAACTTACCGCATGCACGGGGTTGCACTGGTCTATGGGGCTCTTAAAATCTGTCCTCAGCTCATCGAAGGCAATGATCTGAAACGAAACACACAGAATCGAGACATTAGAGCAAAGGTGGGTCACTACGACGCGTCAAAAGCTTCCTGGAGATTTGCTGCCAGTAACAGAGGAGGCAGGAGGTGGGTGTCAATGACAGGAGACCTGGTGGAAGTCGGCCGCTGTGGAAGCTGCGACCCCAAAAGAGGAGACGGCAGGGATCTCGTTAAAGGGCTCACCGCTGCAACTAGTGAATAAACAAGGCCTGGAAATCTCATCCCCAGTGCAGTGGTTCTAGACAATAAAGCTATTACAGTAACAATGAAGAGAGTCGATCCCAATGGCTCCCAGTGCGAGAAGGAATGATAATTATGGGATGGCACAGAGGTGTGAGCGAACGCGACCGTGGCAACTACATTGTAATAAACACGTGTCACCTTAAATTTACAGTATGTTGCATGTCAGATATGTCTCCATTTTCTAAATCCCCAAAATAAAGTTTTTTTAAAGTTTTCTGTGTTTTACAAAAGTGATGGCGAGAACGGGATGGGGATTGGATGGATACAGGCGCACAAGGAATGCATGTTCAGCTTCTCTCGTCATCGCAAGAAGCTGTTGGTTTCTTATTGCTGCTTATTTTGGCACAGAAGCTACTTGGAAGTAAAATGGACAGAAGCCGGGCAAAGGGGAAGGAAGACATAAGAAGGCAGAGGTGACGGCAAGAGAAACAGCCCAATCTCCGGCTGTCCGCAGGCCGGATCCCCAACTCTGGACAGTCAAGGCTTCTCGGCATGGCCCATTGGGTCAAGTTCACTCTGGACCGAGCCCCGAGCCCCCCAGAGAGCGATGGTTTGCCCACTTGTCTGGCGGGGGGAATGTTTGGGGGGGGGGCCTTCTCCAGCTACAGAAGGAGGCACAGCCACAGGAAGAACTACCTAGAGGTGAAGCTCCCCAGCCCGAGCCACCTCGTCCCAGGAAGGGTGACTCGGTGACAGAACAAGGTGGTATTTGGCCAGTCGGCTGCGCATAAATGGACATAGAGCCCCCCACATGACTGTGCTCCCCAGAGGGGCCAAAGCAATGAAGCCAGCACACCCCCCCACACGTCTTTGTTCCAGCAACAAGGGGCTCAGCATACTAGTAAGTCCCACGTGAGTGAGAGCAACGTACTTCCCTCTATGGAGCAGGTATCATTTTATTTTTAAAATATTTTTATTGATTTCAGAGAGGAAGAGAGAGAGAGAGAGAGATAGACACATCAAGGATGAGAGAAGATCATGGATCGGCTGCCTCCTGCACGACCCCAGCTGGGGATCGAGCCCGCAACCCGGGTGTGTGCCCTGACCAGGAATGGAACCGTGACCTCCTGGTTCATAGGTCGATGCTCAACCACTGAGCCACGCTGGCTGGGCAAAGCAGGTATAATTTTAAAGCAGCCACGTGTCATCCTGACCTCAATACTCCCGCAGAATTAGGAGAAAATTCTCATATCGCTTATATTCAATAGACACATTTCCCTATCACCCCTTGCTGGGTAATTAGCCAGCCTGTACTTGAGGCCTTTAGGAACAAGAAACTTGTCACTCACTGGCGATGCTTACTCCATTCCCGGCTACCTCTAATTAATCACTGTCTTCCGGTATTGAATTTACATATGACTCCTTGAGGCTTCCCCCCACGGTCTACACCAGGGTCAGCAAACTACAGCCCGGAGGCCAAATCCCGCCTGCCACCTATTTTTATACAGCCTGTGAGCTAAGCATGGTTTTCATACACTTTTTAAATAGCTGGAAAAAATCAAAAGAAGAAGAACATTTTGTGACATCTAAAAAATTACATTCAAATTTCAGCTTCCATAAAGTCTTATTGGCAACACAGACACACTCGTTCCTTTATATACTGTTCCTGTATACGTTCGTTCGCACTACAAGGGCAAAGTTGAGTTGTTGCTACAGACACCGTCTGACCCGCAAAGCCAAAAATAGTTACTATCTTGCCTTTTACAGAAGAAAAAAAAAATTGCCAATCCTGGTCCCGTCTTTTATTTGCCCTCTAGAGCTGCACTGTCCAATACGGTGGTCACATTTGGCTATGCAAATTTAAATTTTAATTGGTTAAAGTTCAATTTAAAAGTTGGTTCCCACATTTTAATTGCCCAAACGCCACATCAGGCTAGCAGCTATTAAGCAGCACAGACATAAAACATGCTATCGTCACAGAAAGCTCTAGGGCAGTGGTTCTCAACCTTCTGCCCCTTTAAATACAGTTCCTCATGTTGTGACCTAACCATAAAATTATTTTCGTTGCTACTTCATCACTGTCATGTGGCTACTGTGATGAATCGTCATGTAAATATCTGTTATGCAGGGTGGTCTTAGGCGACCCTTGTGAAAGGGTCGTTCGACCGCCAAAGGGGTCGCGACCCAGAGGTTGAGAACCGTTGCTGTAGTGTGAGGCCCATAGGATATGTCAGATCACTCTCTCAGAAGGAACCCCGCTAAAGATTGTCACCTATCATGAACCCAGCAAATCAATATTTCTTTCTTTTCTTTCTCTTTTTCCCTTCCTCCTCTCCTCTCCCCTCTCCTCCCCTCACCGATGTGAGAGAGACAATCGATTGGTTGCCTTCTGCACGCCCTGACCAGGGCTGGGGATGGAGCCTGCAACCAGGGTACCTGCCCTTGACCAGAATTGGACCCACGACCCTTCAGTTCCTCGGCCAACACTCTATCCACTGAGCCAAACTGGCTAGGGCCCTGCAAATCTTTCTTCTTCAAGCTAAATCTTTCCAACTTTTATTTATATACACTGGCACTAAGTTGCCTCATCATGCTAATTGCCTTCCATTGACATTATAGGGAAATGTCCGAACTAAAATGTGACTGTCAGAACCAAACACCATCTTCAAGGTGAGATCAGCTGGCACAGAAAGTAAAAGTACCAGTCACCTCCTCTGTTCTGTAGCCTATGCCTCTGTTAATGCAACCAGATAGCAGTAGCTTTGGGGGTACATCACATCCCTGGCTTCATACTGGCCTTGCATTGCCTAAAAGCCATAGGTCTTTTTTTATGTGCTTGAGTTAAACTCAGTCCAACTCATCCTGCATACACGTTAGATTTGGGGGGGGGGGGGGGGAGCTTAAAGGCAGAAACCAACCTTTTCCCCTTTAATTCCTCCCTGTTCAGTTTGGTCCATTGGTCCAATCTGTTGATATATGACCTACCTCCCACCACAAACCCTAATGAGCATAATGGCTCAGTGTCCACATCCACATTCTCCCTGATGTAAATGCGAAGTGAGCAGGCCCGAGGGCAGCGCCCGGAGCTCCCCATTCCTAGCTCCCAGGAGGCTGGCATCAGCAGTCCTCCAGCCTATTATTTATCCAACTATAGAGACCATTCACCGCCTTTCGGCCCAGGTAACTGAAAGGAAGTCTCTGGGTGGCTTTAGCACCCCTACTGTTGGTGCACCTCAGAGAAGCTCCCCAAAGAGCCTAGGAGCCCAGGAAGGGAAGTCAGGCCCCCACGTCGTGGCGGTGACTGGAGACCTGCCTGTGCAGGCCCCATGACCAGTCCTGACCTGTGTGTGTCGCCCCGTAAGTGTGAGAGGTGGGTCTGGGCTGAAGTGGGGAGAGGAGCCCCTGGGGGGTTCTGAGCTGACCAGCCAATAGGAGAGCAGGCGGCCCTGCCCCCGCTCAGCTCCTGACCTGGAGGAAGGGGTGAAGGACGGCCCTCACGTGTAGCTCATGCCTTTGAGCTTCCTGAGAAAATAGGTCCTTCCCGGTGCTCCCTGATGATGGAGACGGGAAGGTACACGGTGAGGATCAAGGCTTTCCGCATCCCCACCCCCGCCTGGTAACCACTCACTGCCCGTCAATCATTCAGGGAGCATCCTTCACACACAGGCACTGGGCTAGCCCTGCAGGAGCCCTGCTAAGTGGGTTTAGAGCGAATCCTCACCCTTGACATCTGATCACCCTGGCCTGCCTCCAGCAAGAACCTAAATAAAAGTAAAAATGAGAGGGGGAAACACACACACACACACACACACCACAACACACACGCACGAGCGCGCACACACACCCACCATACACACACAACACACGCACGCGCGCACACACACACCATGCACGCACGCGCACACACACAACACGCACGCAGAGAACACGCACACACATGCACGCACGCACGCGCACGCACACACACACACACGCACGTACACACACACACACATATACACACATACACACACACACACGCACGCACACACACACGCACACACAGCCCAGCAGACAGCAAGTGGGCTTAGGTTTTAATTGCAGCTCTCAGAAATTGCCGGGAACGCAACACAAAAGTGCGGCCCAGTAAAAGCGTTCCATGGGGGAGGCTAGACAAGACAATACGGTCTTGATTTTGAATGCGCTTCCATGAATCTCCCACCAACACATCTCCCCAGCAGGCATGTAACGACCGGAGAACCCGTAGGCGGAGGTCTGTGCTCCGGCAAAGACCTAGGCCCCAGCTGACCTGAGCTGCTCCTTAGTGATGGCGCCCCGCAGCTGGGAAGGCCCAGGTGCCCACGGTGACAGTGACAATGATTGGTGAGAACTGAGGGACCTGCCCAGGCTTCTCCCTCCTGCCTGGATGCCCACTTTCCTTCTGCACAAAGGTGAGCTGTGCTGAAAAGTCTCCCTCCGCCCCTCCAGGCCCCTCTCCCCCCTCCACCCGCTGTCTCTTGGCCCTCTGGCTTCCCCTGTGGGCAGGCCACTAGGAGGCCCCAGCAGATGATGGTAGGAGGTCCCTGACTCCCCTTCTGGTTGGGCTGTGGCTTGGCAGGGTCTCTGCCCCTCCACGAGGCCACAGCTCCCACCACGATCCCACCACCCTCTGGACAAACACGTGGGAAGCTAAGGACCCCTCCAAGCCAGTGTCTGTGCTGAACACGGGTTCCACACCGACCCCCTCGCCTTTGCCCAAGGAGCCCAGATCTCAGCCCAGGCTGTGGGCAGCCCGGCCTGAGTTCAGGCGGCATCAACAGG